ACTACTTTATACGACAATGTTATACCACCAGTGTTGACTACTTTATATTACAACATTATACCACCAATGTTGACTACTTTATATTTCTGTTGTCTAAGTCTGATGTTACATGTCACTAATATGTTAAGTGTTTAATAACTGTTACTCAACTGTTGTGTAAGTCTGATGTTACATGTCACTGATATGTTAAGTGTTTAATAACTTGTCTAAGTCTGATGTTACATGTCACTGATATGTTAAGTGTTTAATAACTGTTACTCAACTGTTGTCTAAGTCTGATGTTACATCTCACTGTTATGTTAAGTGTTTAATAACTGTTACTCAACTGTTGTCTAAGTCTAATGTTGCATGTCACTGATATGTTAAGTGTTTAATAACTGTTACTCAACTGTTTTCTAAGTCTGATGTTACATGTCACTAATATGTTAAGTGTTTAATAACTGTTACTCAACTGTTTTCTAAGTCTAATGTTGCATGTCACTGATATGTTAAGTGTTTAATAACTGTTACTCAACTGTTGTATAAGTTTAATGTTGCATGTCACTGATATGTTAAGTGTTTAATAACTGTTACTCAACTGTTGTCTAAGTCTGATGTTGCATGCCACTAATATGTTAAGTGTTTCTATCAACATTGTACAAATAGAACCCTTAAATGACTTCGGCTCCATGATTTTAGATCACAGTTCTTTTTTTACTTTATGTTTACCACAACAAATATTTACATCAAAATGGTCTGTGATGCCTTCAATATAAATCAGATGTACTTTTGTCAGAGTTGTAATTTTCATAGTCATTGTTATTCACGAGATTTTGTGTGAAACAAATGTTTAAAGACTTTTTCTTTTTCCCATGTTTTTGCCAGTTAGATATGTTTTTGAGAACATGACCCCGCCTCATTAGTAACCCTGGATTAGGCTAAAACACAAAACATTAATTAAACTTTATCTAAAGTGGTAGATATTTATAAGAACGTTTTATGACAATATATATTTATATTGAAACAACTTATGTGTGTGTTTTTAACAGAGAAATCTCATGGAATACGTCAGTGCTGTTGATGTACACAGTATGATGGTGCTTTTTGCAAGGTAGACGTTTTTACATTTTCTCAATTTATACGTACATTTTATTTTATTTTTTTGCACAGAAGAAAACTCTTAAAAAAATCGTTTTGTGAGAGATAAACTAAAAACATGTAAATTTAGGGTTAAAATTTCTAGTGGCTACATTCTGCCTCATTTCTTGAGTGACACGACCCGTCACAAGGCTTCAACCTTCTCGTTGAAAAGATAAGAGGAGAAATCCAATATAAATTATGATTAAAAAATACTAATGAAATGTTTTTTTTTCACCCAGCTTCTAAATTGAAGGTCGTGTGCTCTAGCTGAGGCATTTGATTAAAGTCAAACTCTGTGTGTGTGTGTGTGTATTTACAGTTTCTTTTGTCATAAAACAAGTTGTAGGAGCACAGTATATTTTATTACTTAATTAGATAAAAGCTACCAAATTACTGATATAATATTGCAATGTGTTACTGATAAAATGTTTTAATATAAAGCAGTCAACACTGGTGGTATATTGTTGTAATATAAAGTAGTCAACACTGGTGGTATATTGTTGTAATATAAAGTAGTCAATACTGGTGATATAACATTTTCGTATAAAGTAAACACTGGGGATATAATGTTGTAATATAAAGTAGTCAACACTGATGGTATAAAGTAGTCAACATTGGTGGTATAATGTTGTGATATAAAGTAGTCAACACTGGTGATATAATGTTGTGATATAAAGTAGTCAACATTGGTGATATAATGTTGTGATATAAAGTAGTCAACATTGGTGGTATAATGTTGTAATATAAAGTAGTCAACACTAGTGGTATAATGTTGTAATATAAAATTGTCAACATTGGTGGTATAACATTTTCGTATAAAGTAAACACTGGTGATATAATGTTGTAATATAAAGTAGTCAACACTGGTGATATAACGTTGTAATATAAAGTAGTCAACATTGGTGGTATAATATTGTAATATAAAGTAGTCAACACTGGTGATATAACGTTGTAATATAAAGTAGTCAACATTGGTGGTATAATATTGTAATATAAAGTAGTCAACATTGGTGGTATAATATTGTTTGAGTAACAGTTATTAAACACTTAACATATTAGTGACATGTAACATCAGACTTAGACAACAGTTATTAAACACTTAACATATTGGCAATGGATATGGCAGACATGGTGTAGTTTAAATGTACTATTAAACATTGGTCTTCTTAGCCTAATTTGTAGCTTTATGCCAAAAATAGGATTATAGTATTTGATTAAAAATATTTCCTGGTTTCTCCACAAAATAACAAATTCATGAATGTTAGATCATAAAAAAAACTTGAAAATTACATAAAGGAAAATAGATATTAAATTATCAGAAACTTGACAAAAGTTACTTTCTAAAGTTCTATAATTTTTGTTCAATATTTGCCAAAAGAAGTTGTATTTAATATAGTGTTTTAATAAATCAACAACAGAAATAGCTGTGTAAATATTTTTTTTATTTAAGTTAGATTACTGACCATTACTCAACAAGTCACAGATATGTTAAGTGTTTAATAACTGTTACTCAACCGTTGTCTAAGTCTGATGTTACATGTCACTGAATTAAGTACAATTACTAAACTGACACCTAACATACTGAACTGTGATCATATAAAATAAAAGTTACATTAAGTACAATTACTAGACTGACACCTAACATACTGAACTGTGATCATATAAAATAAAAGTTCCATTAAGTACAATTACTAGACTGACATCTAACATATTGAACTGTGATCATATAAAATAAAAGTTACATTAAGTACAGTTACTAGACTGACACCTAACATACTGAACTGTGATCATATAAAATAAAAGTTACTTTACTCATGACATGTGAATGTCATGTTTCCTAGTTCTGATGTCTCGTTCTTTTTTTTGTTGTAAATAATAGTTCTCTTCCTTGGCATGAAACGTTTTACACACTCCTCAATTTTATGTCTGAAATTACATCAACAAATGAGGTGAGTTAAAATTATTTTATTCATGTTTTAGCTTTTCATAAACTGATAAACCTAATAATGTTATCGAATCTTTAGGAATATTATCTTTGAGTAGTGGATTTATTATCGAATAAAAACCGTAATCTATAGGTTACGTCTTCTATTTTATTTGGTATCTCGTCTTAAATAAAACTGAAATACAATGCAAGACAGTGTAAAAGTTTTTATAAATATTACAGACAATCATCTTGGTAAATAAACTCAATTAATCATTATATTTCATTTAATCTATTTGGAAATTTAGAATTTTATTTTACTCCAAAATTGACTTAGGAGAACCTGTAGTAATTCATGTAGTGTGTTAATTTGTTTGTAGATTTGTATATAAAATCTTCCTACAGTCTTGTAGTTAGCGGGGCCAAACTTTGCAGGCAGGCTCAAAGTGTCTTGAAGATGTCCTTATAAATGTACAGTATAGACATGGGGGTCTAAAATATATCTGGTACAGTAACGTTTAGGAGTTGGTTTTCAGGATCACTGAACCCAAATCTGGCATTGGATTTAGTGTTCCTGCTGTGCCTCAGGATCCTGGGGGGCTATCATTGAAACTGTGTTCGTACCACTCGCACAAAAATGAATGAGATCAAACTTGGTACACATGATCAGGCACCATTGGCGGATGTTCTTTTGGGACTTGCTTTTATGTACGAACTCCTATGGGGTAGCTATAGAAGTAATTAGGGATAACAGAGGAGCAGTTAAGAATTTAAAACAAATTATAAGTGCTATAGTTGAATCTGTTAAGAATTCAAAACAAATTATAAGTACTATGGTTGAATCTGTTAAGAATTTAAAATAAATTATAAGTGCTTTAGTTGAATCTGTTGACAAGAATTTAAAACAAATTATAAGTGCTATGGTTGAATCTGTTGACAAGAATTTAAAACAAATTATATTTTTTCATTGCTGTCTTTTGCCAAGATATTGTAAATAGTCCCAAAAGCATAAATCATCAAAACTGTGTTTTTATTTTCTTCCAGAACGCTATCTGGATGTTTCTTGAGGCTCTGTATCATGCACCAGTGCCAGTGCCTGGACACACACTTCGTGTGTTGTGGAACAGTAACCAGAAAGTGAGAGATATTATTTTGAAATTGTTTTCACATTAGTATACATCAGTAGAAAGATAATACGTATGTGATAATCGTTGTCTAAATCTGCAATTAACCTGTATGCATTTATCTAAATAAAATAAGTGCAATTTAAAGAATCCTAAGAAGATGGTGTTATACTGTCTTCTTTCGCTGAGATTCTCTTTACTTGGTCATTTATTTATTCACCTTAGATTTGTTGCTGTACTGATGTAGTTAGGTATCTAATTTTGGATTGTTTAACTCTCTCAACATTGTTTCAGATCTGTTTGACCGACCATGTGACCTATTTGTACTCGTTTAAAGTTTTTTATAGATTTAATACTTCTAACTTTCAATATAATATGTATATCTTCACAAAATTTGGCAGTCTTTTAGTTAACATTTTAAGTTTTTCACATACAAAAAAATCATATTTTTTTAGTGAAGTATTTTTGATAAACTAAAAAAAAGATTTGTCCTTGAATATATTTAGTATTTGTCTTGAATAGTCCGTGTACAGAGTGATTTTCATGTTACGATTAAAAATACTTTTCTTCATCTCAAAAATCTCAAATTTCATTGGTGTAATCTCTTATGTCGTGTACAGTAAAGGATTCTCGTGGTGATAGGGTTAACAAAAATATTTTCTTGGAAGAGAAAACTAGTAAAAATTTTGCTTTAAATTTAGGTTTTGAACAAATCATCAACATAATAAGCCTTTCAGACCTCTTCAGTATGTTTGTGTGTAACGAATATGTTTAATCTTTGATGAAATTGAACCTAAAGTCTACTAGGAAATGCAATTCTCATGTAAATCAGAATTATTTTAAAGTACATTTGTTGAAATAAATTCTCATCATAAACATGACGATATTCTTAACTTCATTAACCCTATGGCTGTTGGATATCGTGAAGTTTCAAAGGCTACTAACTGAAAACTCGCAATGGGAGTCTAATATTAAAAAACCTTAATTAATAGTTGCTGAATGTACTGGTTTTAATTGTATTCTGAATGTTTGATTTGTTTTTTTTATTTTGTATATTTGAATATCCTTGGTATGCTAAGAGTAATATAATATTGAATGCAGGATTACAGGGTTTTCATTAAGTAGGAAGATTAAAAGTTACAATTCTTTTACAATTTCTTTTAAAAGGTTTTGTGATACTGAGGAGGGAAGTAAGTGGGGAGTTGTGGGGGAGGGGTTAGACCAGTTTTACCTGTAGTATGAATAAAGATTTTTCTGGTGAAACATGTCCTTTGTTTTTATATTACGTTTGGCCATTCTGTCTTTTACTTAGTTAATGTTAGTTCGACAATGTATACGTACATGTATATGTGTAGGTTTAAAAATAATTAAATTTTTACAACACAGGATTTTATTCACCATTTTTATTTCATTTGTTTCGCCAACTCATGTGAATAAATAAACATGTGGAAACTAATAAAAAATATAAATAAACATGTGGAAACTAATAAAAAATATAAATAAACATGTGGAAACTAATAACAAATATAAATAAACATGTGGAAACTAATAAAAATACAAATAAACATGTGGAAACTAATAAAAAATATAAATAAACATGTGGAAACTAATAAAAAATATAAATAAACATGTGGAAACTAATAAAAAATATAAATAAACATGTGGAAACGAATATCTTTTTATTGAAGAAAAAAATCCATTTGTTTATAATTCGTCTTATTTTTTCAGCTGTTTATGACGCATTGCCCTGATCATAGAAAATTACCATCTATTCCAGAAAATGTGAGTTTTAAGATGTTTTGTTATAAAATCAAAATTGTGTCCAACCTTTTCCACCCAATCATGGTGTCTCGCTTTTTCTTTGAATGTTATACATTGTAGAACAAAAGCAAAAAAAAAGAACTTGAAATCTCGTGTGAATAACTTTGAACTCAAAAGTAAGTTTAACAGTACAAAGGTTTGTGTAATAATGGACCAAAATGTAAGTAAATTTTGATAAAATGTTATACGTATCTGTAAAGGATTATGTATCGTTAATTTTCTAACTACACTAGTCAACAAGTCATTTTAATCAGATATAATTATAGGTGGGCTGGATAGCTCTTGGAACGCTGATTCCAAATCTGTTTTTGGTTTTCCTCTAGCACGTCAAGTTTTCGTGATGAGACCGATCAAATTTGAAAGGTTAATGCCTGAATTATAATTTAAGTTGTTGTACATTTCTTTCTTCATAAGTGTGTACTGTATAGATTTAGCCAAATGTATGGTGTGTATAACGTTTATGGGAATTATACTGAAAAATGAATAAAATTGTAACATTAACTAGCCTAATGTGTGATTATAATCCTAAATTGTGCTGAAATTAACAGCAGTTGTATTTCAATAACTAGATGATTTGGAATCAGCGTGAAAAACTGGTATAGAAAAATGTGTTTACATCTTTGATGAGAGAAAAATAGTTCAATTTTGACGACTAGCGTTATCATAGTTTTATTCCTTCATTGATGCAGGACAAGCATCAACTTAAGATATCCGTATCTTCATATAATCTATAAGACGAAAATAAAAGTTACCTGTGATCTTATATTATATGGAAAATAAAAGTTACATACGATCACAAAATAAAAGTTACATTATATGGCTATAAGATCACAGCCATATAATGTAACTTTTATTTTATAAGATCACAACCATATAAGATAATTTTTATTTTATAAGATCACAGCCATATAATGTAACTTTTATTTTATAAGATCAGCCATATAATGTAACTTTTATTTTATAAGATCACAACCATATAATGTAACTTTTATTTTATA